ACATATTACTAATATATATATATATATATTATATATATATATATATATATATATATATATTACACACATATATATATATATATATAAACGGCAAATATTGCCTGCGATGCATGACTTTAGCATGCGTTATAATGCTTTATCGTAATCCACACTCACTTACGTATCAATTTTCTGCAAAGCGGTCCAGCTAGCCACGATGTTATTAATAGGCCTGAAGAGAAAGTACCTATTGAAGACAAAAGGAAGTTTATGCGGATGATGATTGTCAGCAGTCTGTTATCCGCAAACAAAGTGCAGTTACACTCCTGCACGGAAGTTTTAAATTTTTCAGGCCAAAGGCGTAAGATTTGAAGAGGTGATGAGACTGATTGTCTTACCTCAACCAGCGGAGGCGTACTTACGAGTCGAATAATCAACCTCGATTAACAACGTTTCGGCAAAAGATGGATAATAGCATATATAAATGTGGTAAAAAATGGCCCTTTCGCAAAAAAATTCGATATGCCAATGAGAGTTCACGTTAAAATCATACGTGTCGACGCCAGAGCATAGATAGCTTCACAAACCCATAGCTAGCTTGACAAAAGCCATATTTTATAAACCCGGGACGTGTCAGTACCGATGTCGATACTTCAGGGGTAGGCCTAATTACTAGCATACAATCAATAGGCAAATGATAAAAATACGCCCTCATTTGTGAATGTAATCTAACCCAAGCAAAACATGTATTGTGCACTTACCAAAGATCCTGATGTAGCGGATGGATGGAACTCCCGGCGCCTACATCGGCTGTTAACGTGGGTCAAAAGAGCGCTATAAGTACATTTATGTAGCATATGCAAACAAATTGGGGATATTTTAAGAGTCAGATCTTATTAAAATAGCGCTTTACTGGAGCAACACTAGATAGAAAAGTCCTCTAATAGCTCTATCACTAGGATAGTTCGCTATATCAGACACATCTGCGATAGAAGCTGTCGAAGAGGTACATAAGGCAGAACAATGCAGTGGCCAGTCATAGTAAGTGTTTGCAACATGTAGTGAGTTGCAGACATCTAGTTCGTTGACCACATGCTATACACAATAGCAATTGCTCGTCTACACTATGATCACCTCCCCCATCCATCGTTTGTGCACGTATATCCTAATGTACTCGATCTTTGACCCATATTCTCCTGTAGCGTACCTGGCTTGTTGATCATCATGGTGTGCATAGCCTTCGCCCCAGCTGAGCCTATGATGTCTTTGAGATACGGCATAATATTCGGATGTTTGCAGTATTCGAAGAGAACCTGTCCAGAATACAATTGCATTTGTGCGGAAGGAACGGTCGAGTAAAGAAAAGCTTTGCGTAAAACTTTACAGTAAGAGCTCGACTGAAAGATAAAAGGTCACAGATCAGGTTGAAACAATTGCGGGCGATCAGCACCACGGATTGGATAAGCATCGTGCGAGTAAAGAGAATATCAGTCTATCCGACTTCATATGTGTATAGCTAATCAGTCAATCAGTCAATCCATATATATGAGTGTGTGTGTGTGTGTGTGTATGTGTGTTGTGAGTATATTTGTACTTGCAAATTGAGCGTACCTCATCCTGGGCCCAGTCTTGGAGCTTCTCTATCAGGTTATCCTTGCTCACTGTAGATAAATGCAACACGCACGACCACTGCGGTGAGTAAATTTTAATCGATTGCAATTGATGCCAATCTACGACTTAGCATGATGCCATATCGCAACAAAATTTGTTCAGTATTTGTGTGTACTGACACAACTTGAACCATCAACAGCCTTCACGTCTGTATCTTTGTTTGTGCACGACCAGGCGAACAAGTACGAATAAATGCATTGTGCGCACACATCTCAATCGACAATTCGATTCACCCCCAGCTTCAGAAGGAGGGAAAACATGTTACACGATGGCACCAGAGAGAGTACGTAACTTCATACTATAGCCTAGATTCTTCGAAAATGTGACATGCTCGTGAGGTCTAACATAAGTTTAACATGTTCATCTGCATTCAATTTGTCATGCATATGTGATAGTAGTCTCAAATGCCTTCGTTTAATGTATGGTTAAAAATTAGTACATTGCTTAATAAATTGATTGTGTGATAACATACAAATGAAACTGAAACTGTTACTAGTATTCCCAGACAAAACAGAGTATGAATTTGCTGGGTCAAAACGCTATATCGATATAAACAAAAAACTTAAAGTAGTTCCAGGCGAAAACCAGAAGAAGAAAAACAGTCTGAGTCAGCCTTACCATGGTCAAGTGCACCCGTGCCCTCTGCTTTGGCCTTCTTGAGTGCTTTCACCACATTGATATCCTTCATCACCAGCATGTTACTCGAATCTACTTCTCCCCAAGAGATGCTTTTGAACCGCTATATAACGCAATGCATACTTGTGAAAAAGTCAGCAGAATTGTACCTAGCGGGCGTTGAACAAATTCCCTCGTCAACAACTGGAACCCAAAAGTGGCAGAAAATACAATTGGCAATCAGGCCAAACATCCACATACTAGGCTCACTTGCATGAATAGTAAC